CGCCTCTGTTCGAGTGCAGACGCAAAACAGGAAAGTCCGAGCCAAAGCTCTGCCTGAGCTGGAGACGAGCTGCGCGGATCCAGACGATCAACACCTCGGTGACATCACCCTTGCTGGGCAAGGGGAAGACTGCGGTGTAACGCGAGTAGTCGTCAACAACGAGCAGGAAGTAGCGCTCGTGACCCTGGCCACGGACGCGGGCTGGGCCCCACACGTCCATGTGAAGCGTCTGCAACGGGGCCTCTGTCGGAGGAAACTGGGAGGAGTGAGGGGCAGCCCTCTGACGCCCCTTGACACAGGGGACACAGGTAGGGCCGGGGCCCTGAGGAAGGGGAGGGAGGGACCGGGGGAGACCAGAAACAAGAAGACGGGAGGCCATGCCTCTGAGCCGAAGCAAAGAGGGGTGACCAAGGCGGTGGTGCCAGAGGAGAGTCTCGTGAGACAGGAGACGACACGAACAGGGGGCAGACTCAGGACCAGACCTGGAAGTTGCAGCAAACACCTAACCCGACGCAGCTACCCTACCAGACTCAGCAACTGGAGGAGACGCAGTGGTCAGTGTGTACAGGCTCGACCCCGGCCGACGGGTAAACGTAGCCAGGTGTCGGCCTGTGCTAGCCTCTGTGCAGTGCGTCACCAGGGGTAGACACGAGACAGGGTGCCAGAGGGAGCCGCCGGACACGGGAGGACTGTGGAGAAGCGAGACAGGACAGGACCCCCAGAGGGGTCAGCCAGAGACACCGCAACAGGCCGACTAAGCGGCGTGAGTGTGGTGCGGTCCCGAAAGAAGGAGCGAGAAGCCCCAGAGTCAAGGGTGAAGGTGACGGAGGCTGAAGCCGACGCAGTACCTGAGAGCGCAGACTCACCTGTACCTGAGGACGCAGACGCAGTAGCACCTAGAGCAGCAGTGTCGCAAGCACCCAGGGCAGCAGCCGCACCAGTACCTAGAGCAGCAGTCGCAATGCCCGGATCGGGCGGGAAATACCGGTAACAGTCACCCTCATCTCTAATAGACACAGCATACATGGCAGAAAGGTTAGCATCAAAATCAAGATCATAGATGGCAACTCCCGCCCTAGACAGCTCGCCCCAGCGAGGGATCTCTGTGGCCTCCGGGAACTGGTGACGCCACGCGTCCGTCAGGCGGCCAAAGCAGCGCTAGGTGGGGTGCGCACCCCCACACTGCTCACCCGCACGGTCGCCGGTGCGCAGGACGTAGGTGCACGGACCAAAACCCCCACCCCGCTGGCGTGCAGTGTACCACTCACGGAGCTGCTAAGGGGACAGGGTCTCACGACCGCGCTGCTGCTGCTGGCGGGGACCACCACCGGAGCCACTCCTCTGCGTAGACCCGCGACCAGCTCCACCGCCACCCCCGCCGCCTCCGCCGCCTCCGCTACTACCGCCGCCTCCGCCGCCTCCTCCATCGCCACCACCTCCGCCACCTCCGCTCCCACCGCCACCGCCGCCGCCGCCTCCGCCTCCACTGCCGCCACCGACACCTCCACTCCCACCTCCACTCCCACCGCCACCCCCACTCCCCCCGCCGCCTCCACCTCCACCTCCATCGCCCCCGCTCGCTCCTCCAGTGCCCCTGCCCCCCTTGCCCTTTCCAGGACGGCGTCTCCCGCTAGGGGCAGACGCCGCACCGACCGACTCAAGACCAAGGAGGTCGGCCGCAGCAGCAGAGGCAACAGAGGGCAGAAGGGGGGAGGTGGAACACCCCTCAAAGATGGGGGTGCGCGGGTCACCACGAGAGGCTCCTACAGCGACTATGCTCTTCTCTATCGCTAGGAGGGCCTTTGCGAGGAGGTCAACAGTGAGAGTGGTGGGACAGACTGAGAGGAAGTGGTCCCTTACTACACGAGGGGAGTTAGGGAGGCGAGTGACTATGTAGTAGAGAGTGATGTACATGGGGGGGGGGGTTCTTGGCGCAGAAGTCAGCAGGAAGCGCAGCGCGGTAGCGAGTGTCACTAGTGCGGAGGTGCGTAATGAGGTCAGCGACTGTGGGAAAGGCATTGAGGTCAAGGAAGAGGTACGGTAACATGAGACGGCTCAGTGCAGCAGTGGCAGGGGAGGAGTAGCGCGCAACTACAGCGTCGTACAAGGTCTGAGAACTCTTGTACTGACTAAAGTGCGCACACTCGGAGGTAGGGAGGTGGCAACGCACAGCAAGACGTGCAGCAGCGTCGCGCGTGGCCCACTGGGAGCGGACAGTGGCGTCGGCATCAGCAGCAGGGGCAGGAGAGGCGTGAGAGGTGAGGTCAAAGAGTGAGAGACCGTCTGCCCTATCGCACTGTTAGAACAGCTGCAAGTCATCTACTCAGACGTCAAAGTCAATGGCCCGACCCTCAGCGTCAAAAGCGAGGACACTAGGGGTAGCCATGACCACAGTAGACTAGCAGTGCAACAGTAGGGTGAGGGTAGTGCAGTAAAAGAGGCACTGTGCTCACCGGACAGGGCTGCTCGGTTGGCTCGGAGGTAGGGCGGTTCGGCTGCTGGGCGGCTCGGCAGCTCGGCTGCAGTGCGGCTCGGCGGCCTGGCGGCTTGGCTGCTGGGCGGCTCGGTTGCCGGGCAGCTCGGCTGCAGGGCGGCTCGACTGCTTGGTTGCTGAGGCGGCTCGGCGGCTCGACTGTCTGGCTGCTCGGCTGTCCGGGCGGCTCGGCGGTGGTGCTGCAGGGCGGCGCGGCTGACGGCTGCTCGGCGGGGTGAGGCGGCTCGTGCAGGTGGGTGGCGAGCGGCGCTGCAGCAGGGGAGGGGGCCGGCGGTGAGAGCGGCGGGGCCGCAGGTGAGAGCGGCGGGGCCGCAGGTGAGAGCGGCTGAGCCGCAGGAGAGGGCGGCGACGGGCCGTTAGGGCGGCGACGGGCCGGTAGGGCAGTGACGGGCCGCTACAAGGGCGGCAACAGGTCGGTAGGGCGGCGTCGGGCCGGTAGGGCGGCGTCAGGCCGGTAGGGCGGCGTCAGGCCGGTAGGGCGGCATCAGGCCGATAGGGCGGCGTCAGGCCGGTAGGGCGGCGTCAGGCCGGTAGGGCGGCGACGGGCCGGTAGGGCGGCGACGGGCCGGGGTAAGGGCGGCGACGGGCCGGGGTAAGGGCGGCGACGGGCCGGAGTAAGGGCGGCGACGGGCCGGTAGAGCGGCGCGACAGGCCGCTGCAAGGGCGGCGACGGGCCGCTGGTAGAAGGGGGGGCGGATCGGGGCCGCGAGAGGCCGCTAGGGCGGCGCAACGCTGCCGTTAGGGCGGCGCGACGCGACCGTAAGGGCGGCGCGACGGGCCGCTAGGGGCGACGCGACGGGCCGTTAAAAAGGGCGCGACTCTAGGCGCGCTTCGGGCAGGGGCAGAACGCGCCCCGGGCAGGAAAAAAAATTCGGTGGGCCCTAGGAACAGTTCCCACGAGAGAACCTGCTCGATACCACGAGAAAGTAAGAACGAGAATGAATGAACTATGAAAGAAGTGAGTACAAGCACTAACCCTAATTGGGTTGTACCCCCTATGGGATTCCCCACTACAGCCTACACAAATGTATAAGCTATATAACGTTCTGACACTAGTTACGCGTTCCGATAAAATCATCCCCATATGAACGAAATGCGTGAAACATGCAAAACTGCGGAAATACGGGCAGGGATGCATTTCTACCTAAATTTTCCGACAGCGAAACAGTAAAATACCGTGGCTGCCAAAACGAAACCATGTAAACACGTTGACGTGCGACGCAGTGCCACGATGCACTCTTTCCGCATAGGACGGAATCGTCCAATCACCGCCAATGTAATCTGCCAGCTGGAACAGGTGAGGCATATGCGTGGCAAAACTCATGAGAAAAAAATAGCCATTCACCAACCATAAATAGCCGCATCTATCGTCTGCGACTCTTGTCAGTCGCAAACACGTCGTTATGTCTGGTGTGGTTGGTACAGCCTGTGGCGGGAAACGATTGTTGGCACCGGACGACCAAACGGGTCTGGTTACACTCGGGCGAGATGGTGCAGTGCTGGACGATACGGCGATCGAAAGCGACTCTGACGAACCTGTCGCGAAGTTCCAGGAGCTCGTCGAGTGGATGCAAGCCATGAAGGCACAGGGCATCCTGCCTGCCGAGTTGTTGCGTAAGAAAGCCAAAAAGGGCAGCATGGCAGAGACGAGTAACAACGGTGGAACAGCTATTCCTATCCCTGCTCCGCCAGTCACTGCGGCTGCTACTCTACCTACCGTAACAGAAATTTTACCCTCGGCCCTTAATCTGACTGGGCCGTTAGAAGACACAGCAGAAGGCGCCACGGAGGCCGTGGAGCATCTTAACGCTCACGGCCTCCCAGTTATCTCTCGGGCTCGCACAGGTATGAACACGTTAGTCTTCTCCCTTTCCTGTTATTTAACTAAGATTCGTATTTGGCGAGTATAGTTTCAAGCTCAACCGCAACTCAACATGCATTTATTGTCATGTTGTTCCTCGCCATGCCTGTCGATGTCTAATCCCGCACCTTGCACTTGTTTTTCTCTTCCACAAACAGAAGTTGCTTCGGTGAGAACACAAGCAGAGCTTCGTCTTCGTGCTGAGAATGAAGACCTGCAATCCACGCTCAAGCTGAAACAAGAGCGCGCACTCGACCTCCAAATCGCCCTGGACGATAAGGAGGCTGCATACGTAGCGCTCAATCTGCGCTACGACGAGTTGTCCGCTCTAGTCGTTGCACTTCGGCAGCAAATCATCAACAACGGCGAGGAGCAAAGGCAAACCCTGAACTTGGCGCTGATCCCGTCTTTCGACTTGCAGCAGTTACCACGTGACCAGAACGGCAGCATCTTGGTCCCTACAACACTTGAACAAGACCATTTGTTTTTGGTGAGTTTGTTCGCGGTTCTGTTTTGAGATAGGATATGCTTCCTATAATAGTTTGATAATGTTTAAGTAATCGCATCTCCCTGTCTTTCTTTTTATTAACACTGTCACCCGGAATGCCCTGACTGTAGAAAAAGGCGCTCGAGGCTTTCACGTTCATGACGACCGCCGCGCCTGCGTGGAGGATGAATTTCTACCCTTTGTGGCCCGAGCTGAGAGAAATGATGGCAGAGAAGTACGCAGAAGCTGGCGTGGGGAAGGACATATTCTACTATGTCATTTGCATGTTCCCTGGAAAGGAAAACCTGGCCATGCGCAAGGCGTCAGAGCGGCGGAGCAATTACAACGGCGACATCAAGACTTACGGGCGCGGCCCGGGCGGGTGCGTCCCGGAGAGTAAATCGAAGGAGTTGGCGGACGAAGGAGTGGCGCCGCAGTGCAGCAGATCCCCTTCGGAGTGGACCCTGTTCTACCTTCATGGTACGTGTGTCGTTGTCTGTTTGTTAAGGCCTCTTTAAATGCCATGCTTTTGTATTTTGCAGCAACGTGTATTGTTTGTAACCATCGTTTCCTGTTTGTTTTAACAGCACGCTTTGGTTCCAACTGGCACTTCAACGCTGCAACGTGTAGGCCGTTTGCCAACCGGGCATTCGAACTCGTCCTGCTGCGCGGTTTTGGGAGCAAGAAGGCGACAACGATCATGGTGAAGTTCCCTGCAGTTGGCTACGCCTTGAATGTGGTGAGTGAGTCGCTATTCAAGGGGAGGGTTTAAGGTCATAACCGCCAGTCCGTGAAGACTCATTTTGGTTGCTTTTCTTGATGCAGGTGGAATGGCCTCTGGCAAATGCGGGAGGGCGAGTAAACCCTGCACTCGACGGTTCCGAGACCGTGGACCAGCAGAATGTCGAGGTGAAGATCGGGCACCTGGTCACCTGGATTAGGGAGACATACGAGAACGAAGACACCGCGATCTGGGACCCGGTTGCTCCTGCTGGCTTCAGGATGTCCCCCAACGTGAAGCTATTGATTGAGGGTTATGAGTCTCAGGTGTTCCCTGCAGGATTACCCTAGGAAATTGGATGCTAAGAGAATTTTATTTAGCATGAGGTCGGAGTGGTTATTACATGACTACTAGGGTTACAATGCCAATCCTAATGATAATACATCTCTGAAATAATGTGTTGTCAAATGCTCTGGAGCCGTATACTTGTTATGAACAATTGTAGCTATTGAATCGAATTATAAAAAACACACTATCTAATATTTTTAAAAATTCTGGATGTTGAATATGTGAAAGGAATGAACAGGGATGAATTGACTAAGTCAGAGTTGGGTACAAATACAACCCTAGCAAACTGTACCCCATATGTGCTACCCCACTATAGCCTACAAACATGCATCAGCTATAATAATCTGACACACCCCCATAGGCAAAGTGGGGGAGAACAAGGGGTCACAAGACCAGTCAAGTAAAGCAAAGCAAGCTCAGGGTGGATCACAAAGTCACCACACAGTCCGAGCACAAGAGCAAGGCCAGAGGCCAGTTCACATGCAGGAGTACAGACATATGTATAAAACTAGACAAGCAAGAGCAGGTATATATATGTCAAAGTACAAGTAAAGTCAAGAAGAGAGCAAGTGAGGCAAGACAGGTACAAGACCCAGCTGAGTACAAAAGCGCTGATGGTCGCAAGGCGCAAGTGCCTTGGTGAACACATCAGCAGTGTTGGCCTCAGAGGCCACGTAAGCAAGTCGCAACTGACCACGCTGCTGCAGCTCACGAGCAAGGAAGTAGCGGAGAGCAATGTGCTTCGTTCTGTGCTCCAAGCGCTGCTCTCGACACAAGGCCAACATGGCCTTGTTGTCTACGTACAGCACTGGAGGAGAACGAGGCAGCTCTCCAAGGTCAGTCAGCAGGTAGGTGAGCCAGCGAAGCTCCTGTGCAGCCATGGCCCCGGCGTAGATCTCAGCCTCACAACTGGAGCCGAGAACCGAAGACGAGCGAGTAGACCGCCACGAGACAGAGCCGGAACCAAGGCTGAAGGTGTAACCCTGTGACGACCGCTGCGTAGCCTGGTCGTCAGCCCAAGAAGCGTCTGCGTGCCCAGTAAGGACCACTGGACTCCGCCCTCCAAGCACTAGCCCCATGCCCGACGTACTGCACAGGTAGCGCAATACCCTCTTCGCTGCAGCCATGTGCTCTGGTCGGTGTCTCCCAGGAGCAACATAGCGTGCAAGGATGCTCAGAGGGTATGCAAGGTCAGGTCGTGTGCAGGTCATCAGGTACATGAGGCAGCCAACAAGCTCTGCATACGGACCACTCGACTCTACGGACTCATCCGAAGGCAGAGCTGAGAGTGAGTGGCGAGTAGGCAGAGGAGTGGCCTGAGGCGAGGAGTACGTGAAGCCGAAGCGCTGAAGGACCTGCTGCACCATGTGTGACTGAGTCAGGGTAATGGTGCGGCGTGCTCTGTCCCGAGTGATCTGCAAGCCAAGGTAGCTGCGCAGTTCACCCAGGTCTGTGCACGTGTGTCTCTTCAGCAGCTCGGACTTCACGTAGGCGAGTCCAGCAGTGTCCGCTGTGGCAAAGACCAAGTCGTCGACGTACACGAGGATGTAGAACGGCGGCAGGGAAGTGTCGGTGCGAAGAAACAGCGACGGGTCAGCAGTAGAAGGAGCAAACCCAAGAGCCGCAAGCGTAGTCCTCAGTGTGTCGTGCCACTCACGCGGTGCCTGGCGGAGACCGTAGACTGGCCGTCGGAGGCTCCACTGGGTGCCAGGAGGGAAAGTCCCAGTGAAGCCAGGCGGACGGCGCAGCCAGATCTCCTCGTGCAGGCTACCCTGCAGGAACGCAGTGCTGAAGTCGAGAGAGTGAAGCTCGTAGTCGCGCTGAGCGGCAATGTGCAGCAGCACCCGAAGAGTGGTCATCTTCGGGGTGGGAGAGAAGGTCTGAAAGTAGTCAACTCCCTGCCGCTGACTGAAGCCACGAGCCACGTAACGCGCCTTGAAGACAGGCGGCGAGCCCGGCGGCCGCTTCACCCTGAAGATCCACATGCCACTGACGATGTTCGCCCCAGGAGGGGGAACCGCGTCAACGTAGGTGCCTGTGGACTTCCAGGAAGCCATCTCTGCATCCATAGCTGCCTGCCACTGAGAGGAGTAGGGACCCTCTACGGCCTCCGCGTAAGAACGCGGAGTCGGGATGTCTAGTGCATCCGGGTCTCCCTCAGGGGCTAGCAGTACAGACGCGAGACGAGGTGAAGCAGCGGCTAGACACTGGAACTCCTCCTGCCTGTCCTCTAGGACGTCCGTGCCAAGGGCACACTCACCCCCGACGGACGGAGGACAGGCGGACTCTGACTCAGCGACAAGACGAGCAGCGTAGTCTAGACGACAGCGCGCAGCAAAGTCGACAAGCTCAGTGACAAGGGCAGACGCAGCAGACGACTCGAAGGAAGGGTCAGTGACAGCAGTAGCAAGGAGACGCGTGACAGTAGGACTGGCAGCACGAAGAGAGTCCGACTCCGGGTCGGCAAGAGCAGGAAGAGAGGAAGCAGGAGGAGAAGGCAAAGGGGCACGCAGAGGAGCAGTGGACGGACGCAGTGACATCCGGTGCGTGCCAGGGAAAGGAGGAGGACGCTGACGCGACCCGCGACCACTAGCGCGCTCAGTACGAACAGGCGACGCAGGACGAGACGCAGGCTCACGACGCTCAGTAAGGCCTCCAGTCGGACCAGCGTAGGGAGAAGGAGCAGGCAAAGGGGAGGCAGGCTCTAGCTGTGGCTGTGACCGGACAGGCTGCGGACCCTCTAAGGGAGGAGGAGGAGGAGCAAGACCAAGAACCTGCTCCAGGAGCGGAACGAAGTACGGTCGAGACCGCGCGGCGACGCCAGAAACAGCAGGAACAGAACCAGCAGCTCCGGCCGGAGCACCCACTCCAGCAGCACCTCCAGCAGAACCACCAGAAGCTCCAGAACCTCCAGCAGCAGCACCAGGAGCACCGTCAGTCGGACCACCAACCGCAGGCTCAGCGCCAACGTCCTCAGCAGGACCAGCTCCAGGAGAACCCTCAGACCCAGCAGCTCCAGCACCCACAGGACGAGCACCGCCAGGTCGCGTGGCAGCAGCGCCCTCCGCAGCCGAAGAACCACTAGCACCAGCGGCACGCCTCCAGCGCCGGGCAAACCACTCACGCAGCTCCTGTGGAGAGAGCGGCTCCCGGCGAGACGAAGCACCCCCAGGCACAGCACCTCCAGGCTCGGCACCTCCAGGCTCAGCACCCCCAGGCTCAGCACCCCCAGGCTCAGTACCCCCAGACACAGCACCCCCAGGCACAGCACCCCCAGGCTCAGCACCCCCAGGCACAGCACCCCCAGGCTCAGCACCCCCAGGCCCAACACCCCCAGACTCCGCACCCCCAGGCTCAGCACCCCCAGGCTCAGCACCCCTAGACTCCGCACCCCCAGGCTCAGCTCCCGCAGCAGCACCGGAGTCACCAGTGACCTCGACAGGCTCGACCGCGTCTACCTGAGACACACCTGAAGGGGCAGGACCCTGAGGGGGGAGGGGGACTACTGGGGGGGGACCTGGTACCAAGAAGAGCGGGGGTGGGGGGAGGGACGGAGTGCGGTAGGGGAAGAGGCGGTAGTAGGGTACCGACTCGTCGAACGTGACGTCCTGGGAGGACAGAACACGTCGAGAGGTGGGGTGGTAAAACTGCCACCCAGGGGCGTCGGGGGGGAACCCGAGGAAGACGCAGGGAGAAGCACGAGGGGACAGCTTGTCCGCAGACAGGTCGCGAACAAACGCCCGAGATCCCCAGACCCGGAACGCCGACGCATCGCCAACCTTCCCCGTCCACAACAGAGCTGGGGAGGTCTCCGGTCGAGAGACCCTGGGGTGGAGGTTGATCTGGTGCGCAGCGTACCTGACCGCAAACGGCCACAGAAAATGGGGAGCAGCCGCATGCATCATGGACGTACGAGCGACGTCCATGACCATGCCAATGCGGCGCTCAGCGATCCCATTCTGCTGTGGTGAGTCCGGAAGCGTGAAGGTCTGACGGATGCCTCGCACACGACAGTAGGCACTCAGGAGGGCAGAGGAGAACTCTCCGCCTCTGTCCGAGTGCAGACGCAAGACAGGGAAGTCAGAGCCAAAGCTTCTCCGAAGCTGAAGACGAGCTGCGCGGATCCAGTCGATCAACACCTGAGTGACCTCACCCTTGCTGCGCAAGGGGAAGACTGTGGTGTAACGCGAGTAGTCGTCAACCACCAGCAGGAAGTAGCGCTCCTGACCCTGTCCACGGATGCGGGCTGGGCCCCACACGTCCATGTGAAGCGTCTGCAACGGGGCCTCTGTCGGAGGAAACTGGGAGGAGTGAGGGGCAGCACGCTGGCGCCCCTCGACACAGGGGACACAGGCAGGGCCAGGGCCCGGAGGAAGGGGAGGGAGGGACCGGGGAAGACCAGACACAAGGACCCGCGAGGCCATGCCTCTGAGCCGAAGCAGAGAGGGGTGGCCAAGGCGGTGGTGCCAGAGGAGGGTCTCGTGAGACAGACGACGACACGAACAAGGGGCAGACTCAGGACCAGACCTGGACGCTGCAGCAAACACCTGACCAGACGAAGGGGCCCTACCAGACGCAGTACCTGGAGGAGAAGCAGTGGTCAGTGTGTACAGGCTCGACCCCGGCCGACGTGTAAACGTAGCCAGGTGGCGACCTGTATCCGCCTCCGTACAGTGGGTCACCCGCTGACGAGCAGGGGTGAACTGGTGGACACCTGCATCCTGGAGGTCAGCACCACTCACCAAGTTCGTCGAGAACGAGGGGAGGTAGAGACCAGATAGGGTGCCAGAGGGGGCCGCCGGACACGGGAGGACAGTGGAGAAGCGAGACAGGACAGGCCCCCCAGAGGGGTCCGCCAGGGACACCGCAACAGGCCGACTCAGCGGCGTGAGAGTGGTGCGGTCCCTAAAGAAGGAGCGAGACGCTCCAGAGTCAAGGGTGAAGGTGTGAGAGGCCGAAGCCGACACAGTACCTGAGAGGGCGGACTCACCAGTACCTGAAA